TTATCGAGCAAGGTGGCTCCTCGTGGGAGTTTCCTTGCAACGGGTTCGTAGTGCCGAGCGATTTGGCTCCTCGTGAGAGTTGTCTCGCTGCAGGTTGGTAGTACCAAGCGAGTTGTCTCCTCGTGGGAGTTGTCTTGCTGCGGGTTGGTAGTACCAAGCGAGTTATCTCCTCGTGGGAGTTGTCTCGCTGCGGGTTGGTAGTACCAAGCGAGTTGTCTCCTCGTGGGAGTTATCTCGCTGCGGGTTGGTAGTACCGAGCGAGTTGTCTCCTCGTGGGAGTTGTCTCGCTGCGGGTCGGTAGTACCGAGCGAGTTGTCTTCTCGTGGGAGTTGTCTCCTCGTGGGAGTTGTCTCGCTGCGGGTTGTCGGACCGAGCGAGTTGGCTCCTCGTGGGAGTTGCCTCGCAACGGGTTTGTAGGACCGAGCGAGTTTGCTCCTCGTGGGGTTGTCTCGCTGCGTGTTGTAGTACCGTGGGAGTTGGCTCCTCGTGGGAGTTGCCTCGCAACGGGTTTGTAGGGCCGAGCGAGTTTCCTCCTCGTGGGAGTTGTCTCGCTGCGGGTTGTCTCGGAAGCCCCCCACTCTCGGTTCGAGGTGGGAGCATAGTCGAAAAAGGTACCGAATCGTGTCGAGAGTAGATCGGTGTTGTGGTGTACCGTTAATTGCTGGCGTGGTGTGGTGAAATAATAATTTTTATTTATCCGTGTGAGAGCGTGCGCGATATGGTGAGGCGCGCTGGAGAGTTCGCGCAATTTAGTGGAGCGCGTTGAAATTCTCGCGCAATTTGGTGAAGCGAGGTGAAATCCGCGCGCAATTTGGTGAGGAGTGAGGCGCTAGGGAACCGCGCGATTGGAAGAGAATAAAACTGACGTGCGCCTTGGGAAGCACGCGATAGGGATTGAAAAGCAGCCGCGTGATGTGACCCTCCATAGAGGCCCGCGCAGACATTAAATTTTCTCCCACATGGGTAGGAGAGAGAGAGTGAAGCTTTGAAGAAATCATGGGGGGACGTGCACAATTAATGCAGGAGTGGGGGGGTGGGTGGGTGTATCACGTGTCCCTTTTACTTTTTTTTTTTCTTTTCCTTTTTGCAGCTGAAGCGCGCGCGCGTCTGGAGCGTGTAAGTCACGCGCGCGTGCATAGGAAGTGCGCCTTTTTTTTTTTTTTTTTCCTCCTGCTGACGCCCGCGCACGCGCCTTTTCGTGTTTTTTTTTTTTCCTCTTGCTGACGCGCGCGCACTTCTGGCGCGTGTACGCCACACGCGCGTACTGTGTACGCGCGCCTCTTCGTTTGTTTTTTTTTTTTTTTTTTTTTTTATTAATGTCCACCTTTTGGGGATAATTTTCCATTTTGTATTGGGGGCACTATAAACCACTAGGGAGTCGATAACCCTTGGCGAATGAAATGTTTTGGGGCACTGTAAACCCCCAGGGAGTCGATAACCCTTGGCGAACGAAATGTGTTTTGGGGGCACTGTAAACCCCAAGGGAGTCGATAACCCTTGGCGGACGAAATATTTTGGGGGCAGAGGTAAGCCCCCGGGGAGTCGATAACCCTTTGCTAGTGTTGAAGAGCCTCGTCGGTTGTCTGAACTGATTGAGGGGCGGGAAGAATTGGATCATGTTGAGGATCTAGTGGGACATCACGAGGAGGGTCTCCTGGTAGATCCCGGGCATGGGGAGTAGGAAGTGGCAAGCCAGAGCCTCCCCGAGGTGGGAGGTTGTTAACAGTGTCACACTCCCCTGAGCATAAGTCTCAAGGTCATCTTGCGCGCTACGTGATCTTGTTTGCCTTCCCACAGACGGCGCCAAAATGATGATGCTAAAGATAGATCACCTTAGATAGTTGAAGTAGGATGAGCTGGAAGAGCAGAATGGATCACAGGCTCACGAGCTTAATGACCTTGAGATACCTCCGATCATAGAACACGTGAACTAAGCCGGGGGTTGATCCGGCGGAAACCCCTCCGACGCTCAAGTCAGACGTGCGGATAGTATAAATGGTCCAGAGAATACATATTATAGTATTGCTCAGTTAATAGGACGTACCTTGAGGAATGAGTTCAAACCTTTATTTATAGCTTAGATGAGAGCTTAAATGAGATTCTTGGGCCCAAACATTATTTGAAGGTGATTCGGCCTCGGTGATAGTGGTCTTCAATATTGGGTTCGTGGCCCCGTAGGTAAATAAATTGTAAGCCCATTGGGTTGGCTGTTGAGTGTATATTTTACACTCAATGTATACTTTCTTACGAGGATTTTTGTATACTTTTATTGATTTAATGATGCTTAATGAGTGGTTTATTGTATTTTAGGTACAACTTGACAATTTGGAAGTTCCAATGACGAAACGAGCCAAAAAAGGTCAAAAACTGGCAAAAAATGAAGAAAACTAAAATATGCTGAAAATTGGTCGGCGCGGCCGTGCCAAATTTAGCCTATTTTTGGCGCGGCCGCGCCAAATGCGGAATGAGGGCAGAAGGTTTTGGCGATTCTCGCGCGCCGTGTTAGAATTGCACTAATTTTCGCGCGGCCGTGTGAAAACACGCTGGAGACAATTTTGGAGTTTTAATCACACAAGGAAACCTAAAATCTTCTACCAAGTTGGGGCATCTATTTAAAGGCAAACCAAGCACGAATTGAAGAACTTTTGAACACAATCTTAGAGGAGGAGGAGCGAGAGAACGAAGAAACGAAGACGGAGAATTGACAAATATTCATCACAATTCTTCTTTCATCTATCTTTTCTTAATCTATGTCTTTTTATATTTTAATTATGTTTTTCGTAGAGAATATGAGTAACTAAGTTTTTTATCTAGGATTTTGTTGGAACTCTATGTGGGGATGGTGAACCCGTTTTCTTGAGATTATGCAATTATGATTTTATGATTATTTCTTCTACTTGTTATGATTGTTAGTGCATGAACCTGATCAATTTATGCGCTTTATCTCTGATTATTGGGATTGCCTTGACAGAGCTATTTTGACAGTTAGACGGTAAGTAGAAGAACCTTCGAGTAGTTTTCACCGGATGAGTGTGTCAATTGCATGTGGTGTCGTAGACATACATGTATCACCTTAGGTAGCCATTTACGAGACTTGTTGTTAATGCTTTATTCATAATTTGTTTGCATATACATATAGTGAACCGTTTATGAATAATAGACTCATAATACACGCGACAGCGGGTTATGAGTAAATTAGTGTCTCGGGTTAATAATCATGAATCATATATTTCATAATTGAGGGGTTTTGGGTGAGCCATTATTGCGTAGGGGGGAGATAAAATCCTAGGTCCGTTTTTATATTGATATTTTCTCGTGTTTATTTGCTTTCTTAATTAGCTTAATTGTTTAGTTGATTAGATTTGACAACTTTGCGTAGGCTGGATAAAAATCATAATTGTTAGAGTTTGGTACTTAGGATTAGATAATTTGAGTATTCCCTGTGGGATCGACATCCGACTCTCACGAGTCCACTTTTACTACTTGTTTGCGATACATGCACTTGCGTGTTAGGTATTTAGCCCCAACATTGGCCGAATTAGGCATATCAGGAACCAACACGGAAAAATAGTGCGAGAGGATGAGATAGATGTGTTTGAATCAACGGATGAAGCTCAAGCTCGTCAAATGCTTCGATCACGCCAAAGGGACCCACCGCTCTTAGGTATTGCCATGAATGGATCAGTGAAGGTGAAACAACGTGTTACCAGCCATCATGCCTCTAAAGAGAACGGAAATCGAAGCGAGACGAAGTCGAAATTGTCGTCATCAGTCATTATGCAAGTATTGTTGATGATCAAGAAGAAGTTTCGGAAGATGAAATACAAGAGGCCCCTGTGCAACTGGAATATGGAGGGCAAGCTACTGTTGATGAGTTAAAGCAACTGAACCTAGGCACATTAGATGACCCCCGCCTAATATTCGTGAGTGCAATTTTGAGTTCAGAAGAGGAGGAACAATATCTTGATATATAAGGCGAATACAAAGATGTGTTTGCGTGGACATACAAAGAAATGCCCGGGCTGGATCCCAAAATCGCAATCCATCTCCTTGGCATAAGAAATGGAGCGCCCCCTGTAAAACAATCGCAACGTGTACTTCGTTCCGAGTTAATTCCTCGAATTGAAACCGAAGTCAACAAGCTCATAGATGATGGATTCATCAGGGAGGTCAAATATCTAACTTGGATCTCTAGCATTGTGCCAGTCAAGAAGAAGAATGGTCAAATACGCATTTGCGTTGATTTTCGGGATTTGAACAAGGCTTTTCCTAAGGATTATTTCCCCTTACCTATCATCGAGCTCATGGTTGATGCGACAACCGGACATGAAGCATTGTCTTTTATGGATGGCTCTTCCGGCTACAATCAAATTAGAATGGCTCCGGAAGATGAAGAATACACCGCATTTCGTACGCCAAAGGGAATTTACTACTACAAAGTAATGCCATTTGGACTAAAGAATGCGTGCGCCACCTACCAGCGTGCCATGCAAAACATCTTTGACGACATGCTGCACAAAAGAGTGGAGTGTTCGGATTGTATTCGAACAAAGAAAAGAGATGACCATTTGAGGGACCTTCGGATTGTATTCGAACGCTTCAGAAAATATAACTTTAAGATGAATCCTCTTAAGTGTGCTTTTGGTGTCTCTTCCGGCAAGTTTCTTGGCTTCATAGTGTGTAATCGTGGTATAGAGGTTGATCCCTCTAAGATAGATGCCATTCAAAAGATGCTTGCGCCTAGAAATTTGAAAGGGTTGAGAAGTTTACAAGAAAACATCGCATTCATAATAAGGTTTATATCAAATCTCGCTGGGAGATGTCAACCATTCAATCACCTCATGAAGAAAGACGCACCTTTCGAATGGGACGAAGGATGTCAAAATTCTTTTGAAAGCATAAAGAAGTACGTATTAAATCCGCCAGTCTAAGAGGCTCCTATACCCAAAAAGCCACTCATATTATACATAGCAGCTCAGGAAAGGTCCGTCGGTTTTCTTATGGCGCAAGGAAATGAAAGCGGCAAAGAGTTTGCCTTGTACTACTTAAGTAGAACTCTAACGGAGAATGAATTGAGATACTCCCCGGTGGAGAAAATTTGTTTGGCACTATTCTATGCGATTAAGAAACTGAGGCATTACGTCAAAACATACTCCATACGACTCATTTCACGTGCCGATCCCGTCAAATTTGTGATTTCAAAGCCAGTGTTATCAGGAAGATTAGCAAAGTGGTCTATCATGTTCAATCAATACGAGATCACGTATGTGCCTCAAAAATCTGTTGAAGGGCAGGCACTAGCTAATTTTCTAGCCGACCACCCTATTCCGACAGAGTGGGAGTTATCCGATGACCTTCCTGATAAAGACATTTTCTTTATCGAAGTTCTTCCGGCATGGGAAATGTTCTTTGATGGGGCCTCCCGGTCTGATGGATCGGGGGCAAGAGTTGTTTTTGTGTCACCCGAGAAACAAGTTTTGACATACTCGGTGGTACTGGGCGAGCTCTGCTCCAATAATGTGGTCGAGTACCAAGCTTTGATCATAGGTCTCGAAATGGCTTTAGAAATGAATATTACGGAAATTGAAATTTATGGTGACTCAAAATTGATTTTTAACCAACTTTTGAAAGTATACGAGGTTAGGAAAGAAGAACTTATTCCTTTATGTCAACACACTTCGGACTTGGTAGCGAAGTTTGAAAAGGTCGTGTTAAATCACATTCCAAGGAAAGATAATAGGAAGGCCGATGCGCTAGCTAATCTAGCAACCATTTTAGCTTTGTCGGAAGGAGAGACAACAAGTGTTCCCATGTGTAATCGTTGGATTGTACCATCATTCGTTGAAGTTAGTCATGAAGAGCTAACGGTACGTCAATTTCAATTAATGATGATCAAGATTGGAGAATACCATTGATCAACTACTTGAGAAATGGAGAATTACCCGAGGAAGTTCGTCATAAGATGAAAGTAAGAAAAGGGTGCCTCATTTCATTCTTTACAAGGATATGCTTTATCATCGGTCTTTTGAAGGAAATTACCAACGTTGTTTGTACGGTGAAGAGACGGCTGAAGCAATGATGCAAGCACATGCCGGGATTTGTGGTTCTGATCAACCCGGTTCGAAGCTACACTTTCAAATTAAAAGAATGGGCTATTATTGGCCTACGATGGTCAAAGATTGCTTGGTTTATGCAAGAAGATGTGAAGCTTGTCAATTACATGCGAACTTCAACAGTCGCCTCATAGCCATTTGATTTGTGGGGTCTTGACGTCGTGGGACCTATTTCTCCTAAGTCGTCCGGGGGTCACGCTTATATTTTGGCAGCTACTGACTACTTCTCCAAATGGGCGGAGGTTGTTCCTTTGAAGGAAGTGAAGAAGAAAACAGTGGTCGAGTTCATTCGTTCCCACCTTATCTTTAGGTATGGAATACCTCGATACATCATTACCGATAATAGAAAACCATTTTACAACAAGTTGATGATAAATTATGTGTGCAATTTGGGTTTAAGCAACACAACTCCTCAATGTATAATGCGGCTGCGAATGGTCTAGTAGAGGCGTTCAACAAAACTTTGTGCAATCTTTTGAAGAAAGTGGTCTCAAAGTCAAAGAAAGATTGGCACGAGAGGGTCGGGGAAGCTTTATGGGCGTATAGGACGACATATCGGACTGCCACTCAAGCCACTCCGTATTCCTTAGTATATGGGCTAGAAGCTATCCTCTCACTTGGAAGTCAAATACCTTCGCTTCGTATTGCTATACAAGAAGGACTAACCGCCGAAGATAATGCTCGTCTTAGACTTGAGGAGCTGGAGGCGCTAGATGAGAAGAGATTAGAAGCTCAGCAACAACTTGAATGCTATCAAGCCCGCATGTCTAAAGAATTCAATAAAAAGGTCCGCCCTCGATCATTTCAAGTTGGAGATTTGGTTCTGGCAGTAAGAAGGCCAATTACCCTCACCCAGCGAATGGGGAACAAATTCGCGTCTAAATGGGACGGCCCCTATGTAGTGAAGGAAGCTTACACAAGCGGCGCTTACAAGTTGGTGGACAATGATGGATTACAAATTGGCCCCATAAATGGCAAATACTTGAAGCGTTACTATCCTTGAAGAAACATCTACCTTCGAGGAAAAGAACATGGTGAATTAAAGTTGCATGTTCTCTTGAACTACGTTATGACTTGATCCCTTTCGGAATGGTACGTAGGCAGCTTAGACCCAAATTCTAAGTTCTGTCAAATAAAAAAAAATGTTCTAAGTTGTTCGCTTGAACTACGTTATGACTTGATCCTTTTGAGAAGGATACGTAGGCAGCTTAGACCATTATTCTAAGTTCAGTCAAATAAAAAAAAATGTTCTAAGTTGTTCGCTTGAACTACGTTATGACTTGATCCTTTTGAGAAGGGTGCGTAGGCAGCTTAGACCCATATTCTAAGTTCAGTCAAATCAAAAAAATAATGTTCTAAGTTGTTCGCTTGAACTACGTTATGACTTGATCCCTTTGATGAGGGTACGTAGGCAGCTTAGACCTATATTCTAAGTTCAGTCAAACCAAAAAAAAAGTGTTCGTTGTAACTGCATTTATAATAAGCAAGTTTGGTTAATTTTCTTTTAAGTTTACCAATTTGTAAAATCAGGCGGATCCAAAAGTGTGCACGATGTAATCATCCAAAGTTATCATTTGCTACATAAAGATGAAAGATGGGGTGCCAAGACAATAATGAGGCCTTATGAGAAGCAAGAGAAAATTCTATTGCATAAAAGGATGGACTGTTTTTTTACATCGAAAGATGGTAAAATGACATGAAAAAAAAAAAAAATCTCGAAAACACTTAAGCGAACAAATCAAAAGTTTCTAGCTCCCGTCGGGATTCTTCAAGTAGCACTTCCATCTTCTCCAAAGCTTCGACCTCATGGTTAGATAAGAATGGTGTGTTCCCAAGATGGGAAATATTCTCTCTTTTCATAGTCACAACCTGCTGGACCTTGGCCAAATCTTCTTCAACCTTACTAAGGGATGAACTTGCTGATTCTTTCTTGTTCCTAGATCAGCTCTTCTAGTTGCTTGGTGATTTCAAGAATTTCAGCCTTCACGTTGTTCACCGTCTCGACGAGCTCATTCTCTTGCAATTCAGCCTCGGAAAGATCTTGTTGTGCAAGCGAAAGAGACTTCTCGTGCATCTCTTGTGTCTCTCTCTGCATGAAATCCGACTTGACCTTTGTGTATAGTGAAACATCTTCGAAATATGACTTCAAGCGTTTCTCCAAGGGTATGTCTTTCATGTACGCTTGCATGTCTTTGAGCAGTTTCTCAATCGTTGGCTTTACCTCTGAAAGTTGTTGAAATGAAGTGTTCATGATCTTTTCAGAAATCCTTTGCCAGTAGAAATTCAAAAGTACTCTTTCGACTTCACTTTTAATGATCAGAGGGGAAAATTCGGAGACCTCAACATATGCCTCCTTGATTGCGGGAACGGGCGAAACTGTCTTTTGTTGTTCGGTAAAAATCCTCTCCACTGCAAGAGAAGTTGTTTTTTGCCGTTTGTCTTGAGGACGTGAGGTGGCACCCGTTTCTTGTAAACCCAAAAAGTTGGCCTCGTTTACCGACCCCAAACTGACCTGAGAAGTAAGACGGACACCCTCTTCGAGATCGGGAAGCTAAAAAAAATGAGAAAAAAATATTAATAATGATAAAAAATGAATAAAGAAAAATAGGATGATTTATTTTACTGATCCCTCTAATGGCAATGAAGAACTAGGTACGCCCTCAAAAAATGAGGAATTTGCAATGGTTAAGTCAAAAACCTTGGATGTCTCCTTCGATGGACATTGGTTGCTAGACTCGTCGTTCGAAGGTAAAATCGCCGAAATGATCTCATTCCCTTGACCATGAATAGCTTTGAATGCAGGATTAGAGGCCATGTTATCAAGAGGAATACGTCGCTTCTTAGTAGAAGTCTCCGTAGCCTGCGCGACGTTTCCTTTCCGATAGATGATGAAACATAAGGCTCTTTGGAGCCTTTCGCTGAAGTTCTTCGAATAGTGTGACCAAATTTGAGTGATAATGATATGAACCACGCCAACCATGTGACGAGACCCGATATCAATACTTCGGATATCAAATCCTGGACCGTCCAAAGAAGGAATCAAAAGGGGGTGGAACCGCGACCCGTTGCCTATAAGGAGGCAAGAACCTTGGTATGTGAGGACGCCACAATCGATTGCGGAAGATCGATTGATAAGTCGGGGTGAACAAACGGAATTCACCGATATGTTCGAAGAGTTCTTAAAGAACCAAAGAGAATAAACTCCATTTAAATCATCAAAATTCGTCCCATAAAATCAACCAAATTGTTAGCCTATTTATAAGGTCTAAAAAGACTCCTTTTTCACAAGGAAAATGACTTCTACCTAAACTATAATAAGGAAATAAATAAATAAGCAAATCCTAACCATAAAAGACTCTAAAATAATAAAAACATAATTAAACCTAAATTAAAAACGTGAATAAGTAAATTAAATAACTTTATCTTTAAGTCGGCTTCTCGATCACCCTTCTAATCTCGCGACATTGGGCTGTGCACGTGCATGCAATTAAATCTCAATTTCGACAATGTTCCGCTTCGAATATCTCTTTGCTCTAAACATGAAAGTTGTAGATCTTTCAGAAATCTTTTCGAATCATTTTGAATCAGCTCAAATGGATTTCAGATGGGAGAGTTATAACTCGAACGGTAAACTGTTCCAGAATAGGCGAGAATCTCGGATGCATGGAATTCGACTTGTCCAACGAATTATTCTCTCTCTTTTCTTCCAATTCCAAACCATAGACATCTCAAACATTTGATTCCAGCCTTTCTTCGCCAAGGAAAACTCGAATGTCCTCTTAAAACTCGTACGCTTGCGCTTCTTCCAATTCTTCATTTTTGAGCTTGCTAGGATCGTATCATACTCCCTTTCTTCAAAAGGATTCGTCGTCGAATCCTGCCCAATGTTAAATGGTGCAGTGATGAAATTTGTTGGACAATCACTCCTTTGGAGTGGTAGTAAAATCATCTCGAGCTCTGTCGGAAGGATATCATGATGTTGGATCAGTGTACAAGACTTGGAGTTATTCAATACACATGTGGTCTTGTCGAGTACCTCAAGCTCCACTTCAGCCGCATCACATGGATGTTTTGTTATATCAAAACACACCGTCGATTGTTCACAGCTCTTTGGTTTGAGATTCAGTCCTTCATTTAATATCGATATGCAATTGGATAAACATGTTTGCCAAGCATCATTATTTCTTTCCCCTTTAACAAATGCACCTTTATCGGGCTGCTCAAATGGTTCTCTTCTCGGCTCAGGGGATGGTGGTTTCTTTTGCTTAGCACTAACTCGCTCAATTCTATCTAACCTAAAGTGCAATTCCTCAAACTCCCTCTTCACCATTTGACGAAGTTGTTGTTTGAGTGCTGAAATTTGATGAAAAGTTTCATCTTGTGACATAATAATGTTATAACAGAAGATCTTCACACACTCCCCTAGGTGTATCCCTCACGAAATATCAGCCCAAACGAACAAAATATTAGATAAGGAAACAAGATTTTTCCAAGATCCCAATGAATAGGAAATAAGATATTCAAAGTTCCCAAAGAATGAAAAACAAGATCTATCCTTCCCAACTTAATTGTACTGCCAAAATCCTCTCAACTCTAACAAGGAAACTTTCCTTCAAAAATTTCGAATTTGATCTTTTTTTTTCGATATTTTCTTATGGACTCTAGACAAAACCTAACTTACTCAAAGAAAGTTCAAAATAAATTTCGATTTTTTATTTTTTTTGGTTTATGGACTCTAAATAAACAAAACCAAAGACCACGAGACTCAACAACAATAGACACGAAACGGTAACAAAACGAAGACACGAAAAAAAATAAGACAGACTCAACAATAAAGATAAAGGATAGGCGAAACCTTCTTAGGAAGATGGCTCTGAGTACCAAATGATACGAACCACGCCAACCATGTGACGAGACCCAGTATCAATACTTCGGATTTCAAATCCAAGACCGTCCAAAAGAAGGAATCAAAAGGTGGAACCGCGACCCATTGCCTATAAAGAGGCAAGAACCTTGGTATGTGAAGACGCCACAATCGATTGCGGAAGATCGATTGATAAGTCAGGGTGAACAAACGGAATCCACCGTAATGTTCGAACAGTTCTTAAAGAACCAAACGAGAATACTCTCAATTAAACCATTAAAATTCGTCCATTAAAATCAGCCAAATTGGCTACATATTTATAAGATCTAAAAAGACTCCTTTTTCACAAGGAAAAGGACTCTTACCTAATCTATAATAAGGAAACTAATAAATAAGAAAATCCTAGCCATAACTAACTCTAAAATAATATAAATATTATAAACCTAATATAAAAACGTAATATAATAAAATCTAAACTCCAAATATCAAGTCGACGACACGAACATTCTTCATAACTCGAGTAGACATTTGGCTGTGCACGTGTCCTCACTTCAAGCTCGATTTCTGACCTAATTCCACTCCGAATCTCTCTCGGATCAAAACAGCAAAGTTACAGATTTTCAAGTTGGCTTTCCGTAGAAATTTGAATCACCTTAATTGGACTTCAGATGAGAAAGTTATAAGCCAAATAGTGTACTCTGGCAGAATTATACGAGACTTTCGGGATGCATGATTTTTGACTTGTCCAACGAATTTCCCTCTTCCTTGTCTTCCAATTCTTCGTGTTGGATGTATGTAGGATCATATCAGTGTCCACGAAGTCGAGCATAACTTTCTCATCCGGACTCCAAATCAACTGGTTCGGTCGGCATTAGAAAGCAATTTTATCTGGCTACAATTCCTGTCTAATGTCAAAATTCCGAATTCGGACTCGAACATGGTCAAAATTGGATTCCAAAAGCGATCATGAAAATACGTGCTACAGTTCGAGGACACGAATGCGCATCAAAAAACGTGCACAAAAACACTCGCTACAAAAGATACGCACATAAGTAAAAGTACAAAAGCATGCACAAAAGTACTCACGCAAAAGAGCATTCGCAAAAAAGATCACAAAAACACTAACTACAATCCTAGGA